TTTATGGTGGCCTTGATATCACTGAAATCACTAGAGATCACTGCTCCTTTGATGGACAACTTCACTTGGGTCCTGGACTCACTGTCTGCCTGAGTATGCACAAAAAGCAGCTTCTAAATCTTACATTATTCTGTAACCTTCAAGTCTGTTGATTGCAGAAAAGGTATCATGATGCCCTCTTTGTGTTCCTTTCAGAATGGCTTAAGCTGAAATACTCTTTCAAAGAACAAGTGTTATAACCAAGGTCTCCCTCAGAAATATTTACAGAAGTACTTTACAGTAGTAACATATTTAAGTGTAATCACTGGGTATATGCAATACAAGAAAGGTATTTCTGCAGAAAGACACAGAAACATGGGAACTAGATGATCTCTAAGGTCCTTTCCAACCCAAACCATTCTATGATTCCATGAATTTATGATCAAATAAACACTCCAGGTATTTCCACATTTAAAGGCTGAAGTTTGTATCAAGTATTTAAATTTTGAACATAAGAATCTAGATCAGAATGTCACCGTGTATCTTGTGTTGATATTAATTGGTGTATGTTAAGTTTGAAGAACAAGTTGCTCTTAAGAAGGACAAAAAAGCCTAGTGTCATCTGGATGAAAAAAAAACAAGTATTGGACAAATGAATTTGAGGGCCCCAAAACCCTTCAATATTGCTTTGATCCTGGGCAAATTCTTAGAATCACAGAATTCCAGACTGGTTTGCACTGGAAGAGACCCTAAAGACCATCCAGTCCCAACCCTCTGCATGGGCAGGGACACCTCCCACCAGCCCAGGCTGCTCCAAGCCCCATCCAACCTGCCCTTCAACACTGCCAGGGATGGGGCAGCCACAGCTTCCCTGGGCAACCTGGTCTCACCACCCTCACAGCAAAGAATTTCTTCCTCACATGTCATCTCAATCTCCACTCTTTCAGCTGGAAACCATTCCCACTCCATGCCCTTGTAGGAAGTTCCTCCCCAGATTTCCTGGAACACTGGAAGGTGCTCTGAGGTCTCCCTGCAGCCTTCTCTTCTCCAGGCTGAACAGATATTAATTGGTGTATGTTAAGTTTGAAGAACAAGTTGCTCTTAAGAAGGACAAAAAAGCCTAGTGTCATCTGGATGAAAAAAAAACAAGTATTGGACAAATGAATTTGAGGGCCCCAAAACCCTTCAATATTGCTTTGATCCTGGGCAAATTCTTAGAATCACAGAATTCCAGACTGGTTTGCACTGGAAGAGACCCTAAAGACCATCCAGTCCCAACCCTCTGCATGGGCAGGGACACCTCCCACCAGCCCAGGCTGCTCCAAGCCCCATCCAACCTGCCCTTCAACACTGCCAGGGATGGGGCAGCCACAGCTTCCCTGGGCAACCTGGTCTCACCACCCTCACAGCAAAGAATTTCTTCCTCACATGTCATCTCAATCTCCACTCTTTCAGCTGGAAACCATTCCCACTCCATGCCCTTGTAGGAAGTTCCTCCCCAGATTTCCTGGAACACTGGAAGGTGCTCTGAGGTCTCCCTGCAGCCTTCTCTTCTCCAGGCTGAACACCCCAACTCTCTCAGCCTGTCTCCATAGGAGTTGGCCTTTTACAAGTGTTACAGATGCCAACACATGCAGAACACCAAATAACCCACCAGAAATCTCAGAAATATGACTCATTTTTCCAAGCAGCAGACAGAGCTATGGTAACTGAGACCCATGTAGGTGAGCTCCTATGGAACATAATGTACTTGGAGGCAAATCCAGGTCAACTGGATATGGCAAGTCTAAAAGTTACACTAACCTCCTTGGACAGTCCTAAGACATAAACTGCCCCACTTCTGCATTCTGCAGTAACAAATAATTTACCCAAGTCATGACACTGCTGAGACCAACAGCTCAGCAGATCACTGAAGAGGATCAGACAACACTTTGTAGGGATGAAAATCAAAATACCACTATGGTTTGCTCAGCAGAGGGATCTGCTGCTGAAGCAGAGGTCTCCAGGCTGCCACATGAAAACAGAAATTGAGAAATTGTTCACCTAAACACCATCATATGCTGTTCTGTCACCTTCAGCATTCACAGCTTCATGTGCTCCCAAGCAACACTGGAAGGTAGCACGGGAATTATGTTACTTATAGGCAACAGGTTGGAGGCCCCTATTCTGAAACATCTTGCACTTTTGGAGGAAGGTTTGCTTGGATTAAGAATTTTATAATGGGGCATTTATTCATCAACATCCCATCACCACAAAGGCCCTGGATGAAGCTCAATTATTTATTGGCAACGTGCTGCAGTTCAGGAGCAGAACTAATCAATCAAATGATTGGAGTGGGAAATAGTTTTTTTTAAGATGTAAAGGTACCCTTCTAATGTGTATTCCAAAAAGCAAAGATATGAGGAAAGAAAAGGGACCCTGCACACTGAGAAGCTGCCCTTTACAGGTCATCAACACAGTGCTTGGTTTTTTGGGAATTCCAGGGCAATTCCATTGCCTGCAACACACTGGGGAGGCTGCTCAAAAGCTGAGCAGTGCTAACCACCTAGCCAGCTCGCTCACAATTCTGTTTTCTTCACAAAAAGATCTCAGAGGACCATAAAATAAACAAATACAGGTTAGTAAATTGCAAAGAAATTGTCAGCTGAGCCTTGGATACTGAGCTCCAGGATATCATGTGTTGCCTGGAGTTGGCAGGCTGAGTAAGAGAAACTTACCCACAACTGGAGCAACAAATTGGAACCTACTCCAAACTTTTCATCAGCCTGTTGCCACCATTTATGGCTCTGTTTGGCTGGGGGCAAACTAAGACCTGACAGGTTTGTCCACTGCTGGTCACCAAGATACTTGCTGACAAGCTAGATTTTTGTTACTCATGATGCAAACTGGTACATTCACCTAAGAAAGGAATTATGCCTAAGTACTCAGAGACTCTTCCTGGAGACTGCATTAATTTTGCTGAGGAAGAGGATGAGATGGCTGGTTTTTAATAATTTATCATGCTTTATCATAGCATTGTGAGTAGTCACTTCACTTCTCAATGATGTTTACAGACCAAATCTATCCTTCACCAGACTTAAATGACAGCTACTTGTAAAGCTCCATGGGATCAAAATACTTTTCATACAGGATGCAATTACACCAAATTGCAGCAACAAACTGTAGCATTTAGGAGTTCTATAAACTGAATTCAGCACTTCCCCAACTCATTATGTTTACTTGAGCAGTGTTAATGCAAGTTGTAAAGCTTCTCCCTGTGTCACGTGCAGATGGCAGTCGTGGATGCCAGCTGATTAGAGATGTATTGAGAGGCACTTCATAGTGACAAAACAACTCTTCACATTTACTGTTGGCTCTAATTTTCTTGCAACTCTCCCATTACTAGAAAAAAAAAAATCTCTTGAAAGTGATTGGTGAGATGACATGTATTCCATTCTGATGTTAATACATACATAGCTGCTTGGTAGTTATTTTGTTTTGCCTTTTTTTCACTTTAGTTTCAGAAGCAGCACTGGTGTCTGAAGTTGGGATTTCTGTTTCTGATCTCTTACGTTCCCATAAATATCAGGGATTATATCTTTTCTATCACTCTCCCCAAGCTCTCTGACCTCAAATCTGAAAATTTCTGCTTCGCAGACCAGACCTTCTGAGATGAAAAAAAAACAAACAAAAAAAACCCCCAGACCTCCCTTCCTTACTTGACAGGGAGAATCCAAATATCCAAGTACAACTGAAGCTCATCCTTCCCCCCTTCCACCAGGAGTTAAGTTACCAAAGGCTGGAACCCCTCAGCAACCCTAAAGATGTGCTTTCCCATGTAAAAACATTCCCCCACCACAACCAACACCCCCACTCTGAGTGAGGATCCAGCTGTACTAACAGAGCTGACCTTTGTGCCAGCACACTGGAGTCATAAATCAGTACAAGCACACATAAACACAGGTGAAAGTGCCTTTCAGAAGGGCAGCTGTGCTGGCACAGGGCTCACGGGTCACACCATCTTATGCACCTACCTGACAGAGCTGTTAAAGCAGAAGACCCTACTGCAGGCTTAGCCAAGGGGAAAGATATTTTAAAGTGGTACAAATAGCAACAAAAATATTCACATAGTCCTTGCTAGCTTTGAGGAGAGTTAAAAACTTCACCCTCTGCATGGTTGAAAAAATCTCCCTGAGTCAACAAATGATATTCTGGCTTTCCTTACAGTAATGACAGAGTGTGACTGCTTTGTACAACGTTGTAGTTTAAAGACTTCAAAAATAAAGTTGCTTATTAAAGAATAACACAAGCAAAACCCTACTAAAATATATTGTGAGGACTATACTTGCAGCTCTTAGTTTGTAGATTGTTCACTGAGGAACAACCAAAAACCAGAACGTAAAAAATTCTGAACTTCTGCTGTGCTTTGTTTATCCTGAACAATAAACAACAGTATACATTAAATAATAGCTCAGTAGTTTCAGAGGGCTGTTCTTAAAATGTTAAATGCATTTGATACCCAGGAACACTTAAGCTGAATGTCCTCAGCCTGGTCATTAAAACACAAGGACCTCCAGAGCAGAATGAATGCCCAAGATTTACTAGAGCTAACTGTTTTAATAAATTCACAGACTGAACAAAAATGGAAAATGAAATAAGATCTGTAGAACTGATATTCCCTTCAGATTTAAATTTGAAATAATGGCCAGAGAGGTACTAGCCAGTTTGCATTTAGACACTGCCTCTTCTTGTCCCATCAAGAGATTTCAGTTGCAAGAGAAATTTCAAACCAAATTAAAAGACAGGAAGCACGAACCAAAATGGGAACAAGTAGTTCAACAGTCTTCATCAAAAATCCTCCAGCAGGAAATCCTACAACATCAAGATGCAATGCAAAATGGCAGAGCAAACTGATGCCTGTAACAATGTTCCCCACTACGTAGGATGGGAAACCACTACAGATCAAGTTCTTACTTCAGACAAAACCAGATCCCAACTGTCCAAAGAAAAGACTATAAAAATACTGATCTAAACAATCTTACCCTCCTTCCCATCAACAGGTTTTGATACTTCCATATCAAAGCTCTCTTGCAGCTGCTGGCCTCTGAAGCGGTTGAGGTGCTCCTGTTCTATCAAGTTACTCTCCTCCTCTTCCAGAGGTTGCCATGTACCATCAATAAACCACTGTCCACGCATTACAGGGATCTTCTCTGTTTCTAAAAGACAACGAGAGACACTTTTTAAATGCAACAGACCACAAACTGACAGCAGAGAAGGGGGAAAGGGAATTCTGTTTGGTGTTTTGGTGGGAAAGTTACAGTCCTGCTGGTGGGACACCTGAGAAGGTAACCACAAATGCCAGGAGAAACACCACCACCTTCTCCCACGGGGCTGAAATGAGCAGTTAAAGTGGTGTCAATCCACAAGCTGAGCTAATGAGGCCAAGTTTTCAGTGTGAGTGTGCATGAGGATGTGAGAGATGGACAGAAAGATGCAGATTCTGTAAAAATTGTTAAGGGTTGAAGGTCCAACAATGGTCCAGCTGCAATGGATTGTCCTCCTCTCTACACAGTTGCCTTGAATTTTCAAAAAATTATGAATTCTGTGAGACTACTGCTCCTCTATAAAATCTAACAACAACCACTGGTTTCAAAATTATCAAGGCAATGCAGAAAGAGGAGATAAAGAAACCACTGATGCTTGCCCTGACTGCACAGAGCCTTGGGAATTGCACTTACAATAACCCATATTACACACCAATTAGCATAAAGGGATGAAAGGGGGTGTTTTTTATTAAAATCAGCATTTCACTGAGAGCTATTTTCACTCACTGTCATTCTAATTTCAGTTTCACACTCCAAATGAGGAAGCTGTGTGCTCAGTATTTGCCTTCTATGTGACAAAAGAGAAATCCCTACCAAAAAAATATATCCTGGTTCTTATTCTTCATCAAACTGTGCTTGATGCCCACACTAAGTATTGAGGCTGTAGGGAGCAAGAATTCTCTGCTGATATCCATCCCTGCAAGCAAGCTGAGACAATAAAATCCACTGCAGCTCAAATTTTTCTCCTACATCTGGAAAATCAAGAAGAAATACTGTGTGTGCCTGTGCTCCACAAGCCTGAAAGATCCCAACTTCCAGCTTCATGGGACCAACACAGATGCAGCTCTGCTAAGACCCCACAGCAGTGGGACCACTGACCCCAAGTGCACACTTCTGTGTTGCTGGGTGTTGGATCTGCAGAGAGAGACTCAGCCCAATGGAAATGTCTTCTGTGTGTGCACACTAACTGCACAACTTCAGCTCTCCAAAGCAGCCAAGAACTCAACCACAAAAGAGGGGGCTCAAAAAACAGGAGATGGGGGGAAAAAGGACTGGCTCTGTGACTCAAAGATCGTCCCTGGAAAGTGAGGGAAAAAAGCATGGAAAAGAAACAATAGATGCAAAGAAACAGAGAAGATTAATTAAGTAAAAACAAACAAACAAGAAACAATGGAGAGCTTGGAGATTTCACAGTCACTGGACAAAGGAAAGGATCTATCTGATCGGTCACCAGACCAGTTCAAACACAGCTGGTTTGTCACCCATTCCATTAGCACAGCCACCAGCTCTGGCCATGCAAGCATCTGCTTCACTCAGGACCACAGTGAGACCAACTGCTTGCAGTCAGTGTGGAAATATAGTAAATAGCAGAGTTCCTGTTTACTTGGAACCTCTGAACTCTTCCAGATTCTTCATTCCTCAGACCACTGTTACCTACAAGCAAAAGGAAAATCTTCCTGCAATCATCTCCCTGCAGGGCCAGTAACACCAAAAAGTTCTAAAGCCAATTTTGAAACTATTCCTGTAACAGATCTACAGGAAAACATTGTTTCCACAGGACTAGAAATAACAATAAGCTCTTTACACACTACTTGTGCAAGAGGGCACACTTGCAGGTGATGGCATCCTTAAGTTGGTTCTGCAGCAACCAGCAAGGAAAGGTGAAGAGCAGGAAAGCTCAGGGTGAGGAGAGAAGTGGATGCTGGAAGAAGATGATGTGGAGCACAGAGCCCAGATTACTGCTGAGCTTTCCTCACTTCCTGCAGGCACACAGGCTCTCCCAGTGATCCAAGCATTCCAGTGTTTGGGACTCCTGCCCACAACCCTCTAAAACAGCCCCTCTGTGCACACATGGAGAGAGAAGTCTGCAAAACAATGACTCTGAGTGCTGCCAGCCTCTCCCATCCTACCTTCCCCCAGATGTCAGTTTTATTGGGCAGGCATCAAGGCATGCTGGTTCATCCCTCCCGAGTCCCCTAAGTCCCCATTTGAACCCTCTGATCCCCCTGCATCCTCATCCTCTAGAACACAGTTGACTCAGGTCTTGTTGGCCTGACCAAAAACGCAGTCAGAAGTAGCACAGGACCCGATTCTGCCATTCAGCTACAGTTTGCACAACTAAAACAGCTATTCCAGACAGGAGCCAATTGTTAGGTGCTGAATTTCTAACGTTTTGGATGCTGGATGATTCATCAGATGACTGAAGAGGCTGGGGTGTTTGAAGGGCACTGTTATTTAGTGAACATGAATCCCACTGTATCAGAAGAACAAAAAGGCCTGAGTGGCTTTAAGCTGGTGAATTTAACAGTCAGGACCAATTACATAAAAAATGCAATTGTCTGAATTGTATGTTCAATTGCATGAAAATTTAAACTCACTTGGGAGTCTACATCCCCTCAGTGAAGTGTGAAAGGAGTATTTCACTTTCATGACATTAAAGTTGGCCACAGCAATGTCAGTTGTCACCATGAACAGTAGCTTCTCCCCCTGCACTTGTTTTAACCTTTCCTGTATTTCTTTC